AATCATAGAATCATAGAGCTGGAAGAGACCACAAGGGCCATCGAGTCCAACCCCCTGCCAAGCAGGAAACACCATCAGAGCACTCCTGACATATGGTTGTCAAGCCTCTGCTTAAAGACCTCCAAAGAAGGAGACTCCACCACACTCCTTGGCAGCAAATTCCACTGTCGAACAGCTCTTACTGTCAGGAAGTTCTTCCTAATGTTTAGGTGGAATCTTCTTTCTTGTAGTTTGGATCCATTGCTCCGTGTCCGCTTCTCTGGAGCAGCAGAAAACAACCTTTCTCCCTCCTCTATGTGACATCCTTTTATATATTTGAACATGGCTATCATATCACCCCTTAACCTCCTCTTCTCCAGGCTAAACATGCCCAGCTCCCTTAGCCGTTCCTCATAAGGCATCGTTTCCAGGCCTTTGACCATTTTGGTTGGAGAAGACCTAAAATAGGTTGGAGAAGACCTAAAATAAAAATAAAACAATGACTATGTATAATCAGTGGGGCAATACAGAGAAAGCTGACTGACTATGAAAACCTTTTCTATATGTCTTCTTCATCTGTGTCTATTTTTGATAGGCTTCCACCAATGCACAAACTACTCCCCCCCCCCTTATTTGAGGGATGGTGGTGAAGGTCAGGACTACAAATTACCAATAGGTTGCAGGATCCAGATGTGCTGATCCTCCCTCACTGTGTGTATCACAGTCATACCACAAGTCTTTTTTTTGGGCATGGTTTAGGAAAGCATGGTGCCGGAGGCGACTCTTGAGAGTCCCATGGACTGCAAGAAGATCAAACCTATCCATTCTGAAGGAAATCAGCCCTGAGCGCTCACTGGAAGGACAGATCCTGAAGCTTGAGGCTCCAATACTTTGGCCACCTCATGAGAAGAGAAGACTCCCTGGAAAAGACCCTGATGGAGGGCACAAGGAGAAGGGGACGACAGAAGACGAGATGGTTGGATAGTGTTCTTGAGGTTACCACCATGAGTTTGACCAAACTGCGGGAGGCAGTGGAGGACAGAGGTGCCTGGCGTGCTCTGGTCCATGGGGTCACGAAGAGTCGGACACGACTAAACAACAACAACAGGAAAGCATAGACCCTGTTCCCTCACGTGCATGGACTTAGATGAGTCACTCCCAGGACAGCCCTCATCGCTCCCATGATGTAAGAGCCAATGGCTGCAGAACAAGGCAGCAACTCTATAAGCTCACAGGGTGCTCCTCAGAGGAGATGGGGCTAACAGAAGGATCCATCTTCAGATGGCCTCAGGAGGTCTATGATTGTGCTGAAGCAACAATTCCTTTTCCAAGGATGACAGCACTCCAGCCAGCTTCCGGGGAGGGAGCTGTCCAAGTGCTGACCACTTCTGCTTCGTCCTCTGTGTGTACCTCACTTTCCCTTAAAATAAAGTCTATATAGTTAGGGGCCAAAAATTAACTAAATTTTTCTGTCATGCATTCACACATTGGTTGGTTTTTTTTTTTAAATTTTCAGGTGTTCTTTTTGCAAGGCTGCATTTCTTATATAGGACCTTTCACCTAGCAACCTCTCCTCAGCTTTCTGCAGACAGGTAAAAGCATGGTTATTTCAATTGGCCGTTGAAAACTAATAATTAGGCTCTATCCTGTTCTATTTTGATTGCTGTGCTGCTTTCAGTTTGTAATATATATTTATTGTTGGTTTTATTATTACAAACCAACCTAATAATTTAAATAATTTTAATTTAATTTAATTTAAATAATGGTATATTTAACTAATGGCATATTGAAAAATAATTTCAGTAGGGACAAAAGTAAGGTTCTAACAACAACAACAGTTTTATTACTTGTATGTTGCCCATCGGACTAGGTTACCCCATCCACTCCCTATACTTAGACAGGAAAAACCAGCCGCACAAATATAAGATGGGAGACACCTGGCTTGCCAGTAGTACATGTGAAAAGGACCTAGGGGTCTTAGTAGACCACAAGTTTACCATAAGTCAATAGTGTGATGCAACAGGAAAGAAAACTAATGTTGTTCTAGGCTGGACCAACAGAAGTCTAGTGTCCTGACAGAGGGAAGTCCTAGTTCTGCTCTATTCTGCCTTGGTCAGACCACACCTGCAGTACTGTGCTCAATTCTGGGCATCATAATTTAAGAAAGTTATTGAGAAGCTGGAACGTGTGCTGAGGAGGGCAACCAAGGTTATCAAGAGTCTGGAAACAAAGCCTTATGAGGACTGGTTAAGGGAACTGGATATGTTTAGCCTGGAAGAAAGGTGATTGGGAAGAGATATGATGTTGTTGTTTAGTCGTTTAGTCATGTCCGACTCTTCGTGACCCCATGGACCAGAGCACGCCAGGCACTCCTGTCTTCCACTGCCTCCCGCAGCTTGGTCAGACTCATGCTGGTAGCTTCGAGAACACTGTCCAACCATCTCACCCTCTGTCGTCCCCTTCTCCTTGTGCCCTCAATCTTTCCCAACATTAGGGTCTTTTCCAGGGAGTCTTCTCTTCTCATGAGGTGGCCAAAGTATTGGAGCCTCAGCTTCACGATCTGTCCTTCCAGTGAGCACTCAGGGCTGATTTCCTTCAGAATGGAGAGGTTTGATCTTCTTGCCGTCCATGGGACTCTCAAGAGTCTCCTCCAACACCATAATTCAAAAGCATCAATTCTTCCACGATCAGCTTTCTTTATGGTCCAGCTCTCACTTCCATACATCACTACTGGGAAAACAATAAGAGATATGATAGTTACCTTCAAATATCTAAAGGGCTATCACATGGGGGATAGTGCAAGCTTGTTTTCTCCTGCTCTAGAGGCTAGGACTCAAACCATTTGATTCAAGTTACAAGAAAGTCGATTCTGATTAAACATCAAGAAGGACTTTCTGACAGTGTTCAACAGTGGAACAAACTCCTACAAGAGGTGGTGGGCTCTCCTTCCTTGGAGGTTTTAGAGCAGAGGTTGGATGGCCATCTGTCATGTATATTCTAGTTGAAATTCCTGCACTGCAGGGGGTTGGACTAGGTGATCCTTGGGGTCACCACCAACCCTACCATTCTATGGTTCTATAATATAGATTTTTAAAAATTGTTTCCATTTCATAAATACAATGTTTGATAAAACAAAACAAAACATTGTGCATTCATCTTACTGCATGATCATTCATAAATAACGAGTCTTTAAAAATTACAAGGTTCCTAATTATTTTCGTGGTGCAACATTGTGTTGTGTTTAATTGCAGTAAATGATAAAGAGATACCATTTTTCAATAAATTGGTTCCTTGGTTGTCTTCCCTCCCGTACTCAGACTATGTTTGTGAGTTTTACCATCTGGACTTCTTCCCATTTTCTGACTATCCAGTCGTCCAATGTTGGTGCAGTGATAGCTTTCCATTTGCTGCTAATTGCGATACGAGCAGCAGTCAAAAGGTGTATTATCATTTGTCTTCCCTCAAACAATACCAGATCTTTAGCATGGCCCAATAGATTAACTAACGGGTTGCGTGGCAAGTCATATCCCATGGTAATTTCAATTTCATGTGTTAATGCAGTCCAAAAAACTATTATCTGAGGAGAAGGCCAAAATAAATGAAAAATACCTCCATTACTTATTTTGCCCCTCCAACAAAGTTTATTAGATCCCATGTAGATATGATTGAGCCTTAGAGGAGTCAGGTACCACAAGAAAATTAATTATAATCTTTTGCTTTTTAACTAGAGCTAATTGTTTGCTGTGAGATTTGTGCCCACAGCAATTTCAAAGTTATTTCCTGCCATAGTTATTTTCAGCCTGGGGTTTCTGCTCCATTTAGGCTGGTAAACAATGACCGAATCATTTAAATTCATAAGGATTTGATATAATTTACCCAATAACTTTGGGGTATGATCCATAAATATTTAAAAATAAACAAATCCCAGATATTTAATTGGTGGCATCCTTCTAGGGGAGCCACAGTAATGCTGAAGAAATTTCTTTGTTTGCGTCGTATAGAGAACCACAGCCTTTATAAATTTTTAAAACTGTGTTAATTGGAATACATACAGAGTTCGCTTGTGGCCTCTGTATGGTGTGCAGCCTCTGAAGTGATGGTTGTGCCATTTTGAGGGTGGTGCAGAGGTAGAGAGGTGTGGTCAAGCTATCTTCCAGAATCCCTAGTAACCAACAGGGCCAGCTAATAATGATAATAATGATAATATTTTTGTCTCTCGCCCATCTGGCTGGGTTGCCCAACCACTATGAAAAACTTCCAGTACAGTGGCACCTTGGTTCTCGAACGTAATCCAATCCGGAAGTCCGTTCGACTTCCAAAACATTCGAAAACCAAGGCATGGCTTCCGATTGGTGCAGGCGCCCTGGAAACAATAGCCAACAGCTGACAGCGGCATCAGATGTTCGGCTTCCGAAAAACGTTCGAAAACTGGAACACTTCCAGGTTTTTGGCATACCAAATGTTCGCGTACCAAGGCGTTCGAGAACCAAAACATAATAAAACATAAATCATAAAAAAACTTCAGATGTCTTCAGGTGTCTTGTAAAGGTTGAATAGTTATTTATCTCGACATCTGGTGGGAGAGTGTTCTACAGGGTGTGGAAAAGAATGGGAAACATTACAAACAAGAGGAATGCAACTGCATCTCCCACTGAAAGCACTAGGAAGCTTATATGATGCGCTCTTTTTTAGTTGCACATCATAGTACTAGGCTAGTGAGAGAAGTACTTCTCCTCTTTGCCCAGCAAAGGGATGAGGAGGAAAACCCTCCACTAACCTTGAAAAGAAGGTTCTTCTCCCTTTGGTGGGACACTGTTACAATAAGGTCTTGGAGTTCAGGCAACAGAAAGTTACACTTCTTCCTGTTTCTTGATCTCTAAGGCCTTCTGCCAGTGGCATTGTGCCAAAGGGAGAAGAAGCCTCTTTGTACAGTCAGTGAAGAGATCATAGCCTCATAGAATTGTGAAGTTGGAAAGGACCACAAGGGTCGTCTAATCCAATCCCTGCAATGCAAGAATCTTTGGCCCAATGTGGGGCTCAAACCCACAACCCTGAGATTAAGTCTTATGCTCTATTGACTGAGCTATGGAACTGCCTGACTGGGTACAGGTGATGGGCCACCAGAAGTGGCTGTGCATGGGTCACCCCTGCCATATTGTTTTATAGGCATAATTCAAAATATGGGTTTTACATTTTTATTTATTATCAGTATATCCTTCTTTATATGGGGAGCTCAGAGCTCCTCCATCCAGATCTCTGAAGAGGTTCCCCCATGGAGAGGTTTTAAACTCTTCATGCTCCTTCTTCTAGTCCTGATGGGTCCATGCTCCTCTAATTGATTTTATTTAAGTGTTTTTATACTACCTTTCAGGAAAAAGCCCCTCTCAAGGTGGTTCGTGCAGCTAAAATGGTAAAACACAACACAACACAACACAACACAACACAACACAACAACACAACATAGATACAAGTCATAGCAGTTAAAATTGGAGAACAGCCTTTACCAAAGGTGTCATGGACTTTTGAAGACGCTCAAACTCAGGACAAAAGGGAGAAATGTGCTAAGAGGAAGGCATGTTTGGCAAACCCTCACAGTGAAACCTATGTCCCCGCTGTGGAAGGATGTGTGGATCCAGAATTGGCCTCCACAGTCACTTACCGACTCACTGTTAAGACTGTGTTCATGGAAGACAATCTTGCTTGGCTAAGAGTGATTGCCAAAGAAGAAGACGACGGCAAGTCATAGCAGTTAAAATTAGGGACTAACAACTTTGTTCAGTTACAAGGAGTTTAGAATGGCTAAGTGTGTCACAGGCAGTGTCAACAGTGAGTTCTGTTCACCCTCTGTCCCCTGCCCCTGCCCAGTGTGTGTGTGCATGTGCTGGTGCCCTGAGTGCAAATGACGCAACGCCACTGGTCAGGCTACAAACCTTTCCATGAATGCTCTTGCTGAATTTCTTCATATGCATACTGAATAGGAAAGTGGAAAGAATTAAGCAGTGCTGATTAGTCCAAGGGAAGTTCTACCATAATGAAATCATAGATCACCATCTCTGGGACCACCTAGCTGCCAGTCTACAGGAGCTTATTTTCTTTCTGTCATAGTCAAGGAACTTAGGGGGGGCATACATGGGAGTTTTCTGTTTTACCTTCCCAGCGCTGATTTTAGGGATAATGACTGACCAAATGTCATTTCATGAGTACCATGACAAAGTGTGGATTTAAATCTAGGTCTTTATTGTTCTAATCTAGCAATCTGTCCAGTGCACCATACATGCTCTCCTGTAGACCTGAACGAAGAACTATCCTGCAAACTCCTGCAAGATCCCAAAAACAATATAACGAAAAACTAATGGCAGACAGCATGAAAGGCCACTGATGGCTGAATATGCTCAGTAGGTTACAATATACCCCATCAATCATCTGGCAGAGATTATCGACCTAGGTCAGAAGTGGGGGCTTCCGTGTCAGACTGGCTGAAGCCCCCAAAACAGATAACATCCAATATGCAGAAAGCTGAATTCTTCCACCATAATGGAAGGATGGAGACATGGCAGGAAGTGATGTTCAGGGAATGAATATCAAGATGGAAATATAAAAGGAGGACCTGGATGATCACAGATCCTTCATCTGTGGCTCTGTGACCATGGCCGATCCACTGTGGCTGGCAAATAGCTTGTTATTATTATTATTATTATTATTATTAATAATAATACCCCACCCATCTGGCTGGGTTTCCCCAGCTACTCTTTCAAGTTCAGCGGGAATCTATAAACCAAGACAGGCATGCCTGAGGGGATTCTTTCTGGGGTTAGTTGCAAAACCTTAAGGAGTTGGAGGGAAGGTATAGATGTGGAGTTCTGTCATTTTCCTGTGGAGCTATACTGTGATACATGCTGTCTGGGTACTTGTCTCTGTGTACAAACAAGTCCTCCAGGTACATATGCTTCTCTGATGGCTATGCAGCAAATAACAGTTGGCTCATTGACGATGATATTGTGGTGTGTTCTGAATGATATCTGCAAGCACAAAATGAAGAGCAACTCTCTGTGGGTGTTGAGAGTAAGGTGGCTTGTTCTGGAAGTTTTGTAGCTGCATGCCAGTGAGTGGGACATTAACTCATGCTGGAATTCTAAGGACTTCTTACCATTAGGACAAATTATGAAGATCTCAGTAATATCCTCAAAGTGGTTGGCCTGGGAATAGATACTGAGACATTGTTATTTCAAAGCAGCTGTGAAAATATTCGCAGATAGGGATGGGTTTGTTTTTTTTTTGGGGGGGGAGGAATGTATATCCATGCAGATGTTTTCTAATTTATGTCTTGTTCTTTGATCTCAATTAGAAGTGAGGTTTTTTTCTGATTCCCCTAAATATGTGAGTAATTATTGCACATTATATACATTACTGTACACATTAGTATACTATACTTACATTATATGCAAATACACTCCAGGTTTCTTAAAACAGTCAGCACATAAACTGATACATACAACAATGCACATAGCTGTATAAAATTCCTTATGTATTAATACTTATAAAATTATGCGGCAGCAATAAAGTACCCCGGGAGGTGGACTTTTTATATATAATGTGTGCATACTCTATCTCTTGTGCACAATTTGATACAGAATTACAGTAGCTGGGCTTTAAAAATAAAAAAATAAAAAATGTGCAAGTAGCTTGAACATAAAGTGGGGGCTCAAAGCAAGATGCAGTCCAATGCAGGCAAACCTAATCTGAGCAGAACTGACAAATTCTGGGAATAAGCCCATTAAAATGGATTCCTCCTCCATCCCTATTCACAGATTGTGGGGCCACATGGGTGTCCCTGGCACTGTGGTCTAAACCACTGAGCCTCTTGGGCTTGCCGATCGGAAGGTCGGCTGTTCAAATCCCCATGACGGGGTGAGCTCCCATTGCTCTGTCACAGCTCCTGCCAACCTAGCAGTTCGAAAGCACACCAGTGCAAGTAGATAAATAGGTATTGCTAAGGTGGGAAGATAAATGGCATTTCCATGCGCTTTGGTTTCCATCAGGGTGTTCCGTTGCACCAGAAGCGGTTTAATCACGCTGGCCACATGCCCGGAAAGCTGTCTGTGGACAAACGCTGGCTCCCTTGGCTTGAAAGTGAGATGCGCGCCGCAACTCCAAAGTCGCCTTTGACTGGACTTAAGCATCCAGGGGTCCTTTACCTTACCCTTTACATGGTTTGGCAGAGGCTCTGCAAGATGTCTAACCAGCCCTATTTGCAGATGCCATGGTGGAACCTGGGATCTTTTTGCATGCAAAGTAGGTTCTCTAAGGGGTCATCCACACCTGCCTTTACTCCATGTTCCTAGGTACAGGCTTTCCAGGTCCAGGTCTAGGACCCCGTAGTCACCTTTCACTGGACTTAACCATCCAGGGTTCCTTTACCTTTACCCTTTTACCTAGCAACATCAACTGATGTTCAATGAAGGTATCTCCAAATTTAAAATCATTCCATGTGATGGGAAAGTTGGAGAACTTCACTACTGAATGGGATTGGACATCATCAGGGATAATAAATCTGATAGTTTGCAATCCATCACTCTGTGGTTTAGAAGGATTCTTTGTCAATGGTTGAAAGGATGGTGCTTTTTTTTAATGGAACTCAGTTTTTGAAGACAGTTTATTGTATCATGAACATCTCATTTGTTTCCATCCCTATGTTATTTTGATCCATATATCCAGTATATGCTAGATACTTTCTGCTTACCCAATTCTTTTTTATGCATTTAGTCTCCACCTTGAATCTTGAGTTTATTTCTTTTTGGCCACCTCTTTGTCTGTGTCCAAACTTTGTCTGTATGCTTTCCTTCCTTCCCTGCAAAAGCTCTGGCAAAAGCTTCATGGGGATGTTCTCCTGGGATGTTCCCAAGCTCTGGATCAAGTCAAAGTAAGCGAGTCTATGAGTGAGCTGCACAAGGGATGCGTCTTGTGGCAGGATCACTTGTGAGGAAAGATGGTGCTTTTCTGGGGGTGGAAAATGGAATTGTCATCATGGAATGAATGAATTGTGCAGTTTCTCTTTTGTAACCCAGAGAATAATTAAGATAGATGGGTAGATGAATTAGCTGTCCTGCAAGGTCAAAAGTGGATTGCCTTATTACTCTATTATTTCACCGTTGTGCAGCTATCACCACTAACACCTTTTTCATGATATTTTGTACATCCGTACAAAAAAGAGGGAGAGGGAGAGAGAGATACAAATTGATCGTTTGCCGGTGAAATCAGTCTTCGTCATTGCCGGCAGTGCTTGGATTAATGGGATTGAAGGCTGCTGGAGGTTCAGCCAGAAAGACGGGCGGAAAAACAAGAGAAATTGGTTTGTACCCTTGGGAATGGGATTGATGTGACTCTCACTGAGCTGAGCTGTTGCTGTTGCTATTGCTGTTGCTGCTGCCACCACTGCTCTAAAGATGAAGTTTGGCGGTGGAAGAAGAATTATGCCATACCTGAGGCACGAAGAATATTTGCTCGACACAAACTAGTGCCAAGATCCCTAAGGGAAGCCAGTTTTCCAAAGTGAAGAACTCCTCTCCCCTTTTCTACTTACCTGGAATGTTAGTGAGCCTTTGGCCTCGATAGAAACTTGACTGTTTGGCCAAGGTTCTATAAGCCTATCTCTCATGAGAAGGCAACAAAAGTTCTGATGGTCGAGACCCAAAGTCCATTTCTCTCAGTGGCAGCACTCCCAGCGGCTAAATAGATGTCTTCTGGAATCCCACAAGCAGGGGCAGGAAGGTAGGAATCCTAGAAGACAGAAGACCACTACAGAATATCTCTGCCCCTGAATGAACGGCCGCATCCTAATTCCTGCCACCTAAAGTTCATTTAAAATTTGTGATTCAGAGCATTGGTGCACTTGGTTCCTCACTTTGGAACTTTAGTTCACATGTACTGTAGAATCATTGAATTGTAGAGTTGGAAGGGACCCTGAGAATCATCTAGTCCAGCCCTCTGCAATGTAGGAATATGCTGCTGCCTCATACGGGGATCAAACTTGCAACCTTGACATTATCAGCACCATGCTCTAACCAACAGAGCTATCCAGGCTGTAATAGGGACAGAGGTTCCAAGGAAGATGACTAAACTATTTATGTACGTGACAACAGCAACTAGAAATGGAAAGAAGACCAGGTCCCAATGTAGAAAGAGTGGCTTTTGAAAGCAATGCACTATGCAGGAATGGCAAAGCTGACAGCAAAATCAAGAGATCAGAATAATGAGCTTTTCATAGAAGAATGGAGGCCTTTTGTGGAATATTTACTACAGTGGTACCTCTGGATGCGAACAGGATCCGTTCCGGAGCCCCGTTCGCATCCTGAAGCAAACGCAACCCACGTCTGCACGTGCGCGGGTCGTGATTTGCCACTTCCGCGCATGACCTCATTTTGAGCGTCTGCGCATGCGCGAGCGACGAAACCCGGAAGTAACACGTCCTGTTACTTCCGGGCCGCCGCGGAGCGCAACCCGAAAATGCTCAACCCGAAGCTACTTCAACCCGAGGTATGACTGTATAGTCAAATGAAACGTGGGCAGGATTTGAGATAAAAGCAGTGGAAGAATAATGATAAAGTACAGTAACTGTAATAGAGAAACTTTTCGTAATAGATAAAGATATAATGCAGTTTAAAAAGTTCGAGTAAAAACACTGAGAAAGTGGGGGTAGGAATTCAATTTACAACAATGTCACTATTTTATATGAAGATTATTGTTAAAAATGTTTGAAAATAATAATAAAAAAATACTGCAAAAAAATGAACTTTAGTTAACACATCCCAAGTAGGCATAGTTTAGCTCAGGAGCTCCCAGACAAACTGTCAGAGCTTGCAGTCATTGCCTAAGCTACCCATTCCAACTTCTCATCTTGAGATCAGAGAGTCTGTGAGCTGCTATACATGTATGATCTGTAAAATTCAAGACTTTTCTAGCCATTGTGCTTGATGTGCAGCTGCAATTAATCCTGAATACTGTTGGTTGCAAATGAGGTTATTTAGCAGCTGAAGAGTGCCAGCCACTTAGTGACTCAATCTACAAAGGTTTTGCTCTACATGACTCCTCTTTTGAATATTATCTCGAGACTATTAGGCGCCCCTCTCTAAAGCACGACAGTTTCCGTTCCAGAGTGGGGATGACAAAGAAAATAACAATGGTGATTCTATTTACACCAAACAGTTTCCTCCAATGAGTTCCTGTAAAAGCACAACAGAGAGATGGGTAAACTCTACAAACCTTCTGCCAATTAATTTGGAAATTATTTGAGTTTTCTCATTTTTTGTTTGTGCATGGAAAAAACGTGAGAAAAAAAATCTGCAAAATCCCCCAAACGACTTCTAGCTTAGCCTTCGCTTTGGCATGTTATGTGTGTGCATAAGTCTGCACAATGTATAAGTGTATTGACATAGATAGATAATAAATACGTATGGGGGAATATTCATTTATCTAAGTTCTCCAGCTGCACTAGGAAGTGGCATAGCCTTAACTATCATGACCCCAGAACAAACTCACCATCTTTGGGGCTGAGGCGATAGATTTTGAAAAAGCCTAAGTGGAAGAGGGACTTGCCCTCACTGCTGATACTGGATCACTCCACCATCCCTGAAGCTTCTCTGCATCCTGAGATCATTACCATCTCCCTGGCCTAAAGAGGTCATGGTGCCATGTTCCGTGTCCAGGGGTGTCCCTGCACAGCCACCGTCTCCTCCATGCTGTCAGAGCCAATGGTAGCTGAAGCAGGAAAGGTCTCCATAACTGCAGGAGATTTCTCCCAGCACAAGTGGACTTAGACTGAACTGAAGCCCTGTTTAGGTTTCAATCTGTAGTTGTCCACTGCTAAAACAACATTTGACTCTGTTTATAGGAATCCATAGGGACGCGGGTGGCGCTGTGGGTTAAACCACAGAGCCTAGGACTTGCCGATCAGAAGGTTGGTGGTTCGAATCCCGGCAACGGGGTGAGCGCCCGTTGCTCGGTTCCTGCTCCTGCCAACCTAGCAGTTTGAAAGCACGTCAAGTGCAAGTAGATAAATAGGTACCACTCCGGCAGGAAGGTAAATGGCGTTTCCGTGTGCTGCTCTGGTTCGCCAGAAGCGGCTTAGTCATGCTGGCCACATGATCCGGAAGCTGTACGCCGGCTCCCTCGGCCAATAAAGTGAGATGAGCGCCGCAACCCCAGAGTGGTCCACGACTGGACCTAATGGTCAGGGGTCCCTTTACCTTTATATGAATCCATTGTCTGAATGTCACACGGAGCTGTCCAAGGTGCTACTTGGAACCTGAACTTTGCCTTGCTCGACTTTTCTTTCCAGAAACTGTATTTTGCCTTTCTGGCCTTATTAGAACCTAAATCCTTCTCAAACCCCACCCCAGATTCATCCAGAGGGGTGTGTGTGTGTGTGTATGAACAAAAAGTTTCCAACTTTCCCAATTTCTGCCAGAATTGGATTCAAATTGCAGGGATGGTCACATCTAAGGGGATGAAGCTCATCATATTTCAGGAAAGGTAGGTACAGCAGTTATCCCACAAGGATAGATTTTACTAGAGATGTTTATGGGGTGAGGAATAGAAAGCACATTTCTTCCCCTACACTTTTTTAAGGCAATCCGTTTAAATACTGGGGTCATGAGGGAGTTGCCTCTGGATAAGAAAGCTGCCAAAGCTCTTCAGACAAATACGTAGATCTAGTGGCTCTCATGCTAAATGAATTTACTTTCATTATAAAACCTGAAAAAGTCATAGTCTTTTCTCCTTGCTCTCCCTTCCTGGAAGTACCCTACATGAAAGAGAGAGAGAGAGAGAACTATGATCATTAATGTTTTGTTAGGAATAAATGGGAATGAAGGAGGACACCACAATAGTCTAACTCTGTCACTTATACCCAAATTTTAGAAGGATGCCTATGAACCTACTTCAACATCCCTTCACCAAGTCACTGTGACTGAAGGTAAAGGTAAAGGTACCCCTGCCCGTACGGGCCAGTCTTGACAGACTCTAGGGTTGTGCGCTCATCTCACTCTAAAGGCCGGGAGCCAGCGCTGTCCGCAGACACTTCTGGGTCACGTGGCCAGCATGACAAGCTGCATCTGGCAAGCCGGCACAGCACACGGAAACGCCGTTTACCTTCCTGCTGGTAAGCAGTCCCTATTTATCTACTTGCACCTGGGGGTCCTTTCGAACTGCTAGGTTGGCAGGCGCTGGGACCGAACGACGGGAGCGCAGCCCGCCGCGGGGATTCGAACTGCCGACCATGCGATCGGCAAGTCCTAGGCGCTGAGGTTTTACCCACAGCGCCACCCGCGTCCCTAACTTCAGTGACTGAAGTACTTCAGTGACTGAAGTACACTGTAATTAAAATCCAGACTTGCCCACCAAATTTGTATTGCACCTACTTCAACATCCCTTCGCCAAGTCACTGTGACTGAAGTACACTGTAATTAAAATCTAGACCTGCCCACCAAATTTGTATTGCACTTTTGTAAACTGTTTAGAGACCATAGTTCTATAGTTAAGTGGAATCCAAATGGTTTAAATAAATAAATTTTATCATTTATTAAATTTGTATACTGCCCTAAAGGTAAAGGTAAAGGACCCCTGGAGGGTTAGTCCAGTCAAAGGTGACTATGGGGTTGTGGTACTCAACTGACTTTCAGGCCAAGTGAACTGGTGTTTGTCCACAAGCAGCTTTCTGGGTCATGTGGCCAGCGGGACTAAACTGCTTCTGGCACAACAGAACACTGTGGCTGAAGCCAGAGAGTATGGAAATGCCATTTACCGTCCTGCCACAGCGGTACCTATTTATCTACTTGCACTGGTGTGCTTTCGAACTGCTATTTTGGCAGGATCTGGGACAGAGCAACAGGAGCTCATCCTATCACGGAGATTTGAACTGCTGAACCTCTGACTGGCAAGCCCAAGAGGTTCCGTGGTTTAGACCACAGCGCCACTTGTGTCCCTATACCTGCCCTATACCCGCAAGTCTCAAGGCAGTTTACCAGATTCCCACTCTGCACTGCCTCCCATGTTGAGCTTTGAGTGTTTCCTGTGCCAAGTTGATTTCAATTCTCAATAAAGAAAAAGGTTAATGGTTGCTTCTGAGCCACACAGCAACAGAGCTAATTGAAAGGTTGGACACTCCCCGATCTCCTTTGACATGCCTTGTTAATGGAATGGTCTGATGCAGTAATGTAAAAAACAAAACAAAACCCTACCCAGAATTGCTCTGCTGTCACTCACAGCCTGCGAACAGGGACATGAAATGCCCAACTTCTGGTGAAGACTACTTGAGCTTCTGTAGTTTGTGAGACAACTAGCAACACTCCTTCAGATGACCACAGTGATTGGGCTGGGATATAAGGGCTCAGGTGGCCCATAAGGTATCCTGGACCCAAGTTGTTTGTAAGAACCTTGGAGCTGGCCTGGGCAGCCAGCGCAGATGTTTCAGCAGAGGTGTCAGATGCTGTCAGCCACCTGTCCCTATCAGCAGCCTAGCTTCTGCATTCTGTACCAGCTGGAGCTTCCAGACCAGGCACTGCATGTTAGCTCAGTCGGTAGAACGTGAGACTTTGAATCTCAGGGTTGTGGGTTCAAGCCCCATGTTGGACAAAAGATTCCTGCATCGCAGGGGGCTGGACCTTATGGTCCATTCCAATTCTACAACTATGTGTTACAACCAGTGATGGGCAAACTGATGATTCTGAACTGGATAGCTGATTTAGAAGTCAAATGTTATAAACCTTACTGAAAGCTCTCCTGTATACTGATATTTTGATACACAGATGAATTTCAGCAGATGTGTATCATTACTAAATCTGCATATTTTTCTGGCCATTGTCATTTGTGGTTTGTTTACAAACTGAATAAATCAATATGGGGTGGCAGCTGTGGTTGGTTTCTTTGGTAATTAAAGAGTTAAAAGTAAAACCCTTCTGAGCATGTGCTGACATTCTCATTTTGTTGGGTAACCTGAGGTGTTATAGTAAACAACATGGGAGCCTCCACGAAGATGGCTGAGTTTGCTTGTTTAGTCATGTGAATCATGTAGATTACACAAGTGGAGAGAAGAGAAATTAACTTGTAATAAATCTGTTTTAATTATGAAAATGTTACAATTTCACTGGATCAAAGTCAGGACTCATTATATAAATGGGAATTATGAGCAGCTTAGATGCAAAATACAGACTGACTAATTACAAGTTTGGGTGGCATTGCTAGTTGCAACATTGTCCTACGTATGTTTATTCGCAAGTTAGCCCTATCGCATTCAATGAGACTTGCTCCCAACCAGGTGCAACTCGGAATGCACTGCTAGGTTGACTCACTTACAACTTATTTATGACATATCATAGAATCATAGAGTATAGAACAGCAGACCTAGAAGGTATCCCAAGGGTCTTCTTTTCCAATCCCCTGTAATTCAGGAATCACAGCTCAAGAATCCGTGACAGGTGGTCATCTGACCTCCAATGAAGGGGAGTCCACCAGTTGCAGTAGCTGAATATGGTTTTTAAAGAATGCTTATTGTGCCCGTATAGTTAAAGCTATGGTTTTCCCAGTAGTGATGTATGGAAGTGAGAGCTGGACCATAAAGAAGGCTGAGCGCCGAATAATTGATGCTTTTGAATTCTGGTGCTGGAGGAGACTCTTGAGAGTCCCATGGACTGCAAGAAGATCAAACCTATCCATTCTGAAGGAAATCAGCCCTGAGTGCTCACTGGAAGGACAGATCATGAAGCTGAGGCTCCAATACTTTGGCCACCTCATGAGAAGAGAAGACTCTCTGGAAAAGACCCTGATGTTGGGAAAGATGGAGGGCACAAGGAGAAGGGGACGACAGAGGATGAGATGGTTGGACAGTGTTCTCGAAGCTACCAGCATGAGTTTGACCAAACTGCAGGAGGCAGTGGAAGACAGGAGTGCCTGGCGTGCTCTGGTCCATGGGGTCATGAAGAGTCGGACACGACTAAACGACTAAACAACAACAACAACATTGTGCCCATGTCCTCCTTGTGGACTTCCCACAGGAATCTGGTTGGCCCCAAGAATGCAAGTGAGGAAATCTCACAGAAGCCAACCTCTGGCTTTGCAGCATTTAAGAGAGCCTGCCCACTGGGGTCTATAGCTATAAGTGCAAGACACAACTGCCCTTACCTAAAAAGGTAATCAGTCAGGACTTCCGTTTCCTGCTGACCGGGAAAGCAGCGTGGAGACAATCGCTCCGATTGCTCCAGGGTTTACAGGAGAGTAAGGGGGGGCTCGCCAAGGTGAGGCACCCCCCTAAAAAATGTCACAAGGGTCTGTGACATCTCAAGGGGTCCGGCTGAGCGCTTAAACATACCAAATTCAGAGGCTTAAAAAATTATATTTTTGTTTTGGCTTGACAAATCAGACAGCAGATGCTAAGGAACCCCCAACCCCCACCCCCTTTTGTATCAGTCCTCCTTGCTTATTTAAACTCAAAAGCAAATGTAATATGTTAAATCCAAATTACGAAGATTGCACTCCTTGCTCTTGCAAATGAAGCTGCTGGAGTTTGACCTCTTCGACTAGATCGAATCCCTGCTGCTTTCTCTTACTTAATTCACTCTACATCATAATACGATGAGAAGTCTAGGTGGCAGTGCCAGTCATCTGCCCACGATCTGTCAGAGGGACTGAAGGCACCCTGGGTTCATGCCACACGATATACAAGCAGCCTCTGCATATCAGGCATAATGTGCACGTAAACAAGCCCCACATATGGGCATCTGCATTCCATGGGCAGATGCAGGAAGGACTGGGTCTTCTTCCAATGGCAGTTATATGCCTTGTTTGGTTTCAGTGTCCTCAACCTGTTCAAACAGGCAGATGGCTGAAGGATTCGCCTCTCTCCGCCCCCCCCCCCGGCTTCTCCTCCTCAAATTGGGCTGTATGGACTGGAGTTTAATATTGTCAGCGTTGCTGGGATTCAAAAAGTACAACGTTGCGGCTACAAACAATTGCAGCCTTGCACCAGCTTCCTTGCCAGTTGCTTCCTTTTCACTTGGTCTCCAGATTTGAATACCCTGTTGCTTCTCCACCCACTGCAGAAAAAAAAAATTAGAAGCAATTTTAAAATTAAACCCCCTTTTTAAAAAAAGGAATATAATCAAAAGTTTTAAATTACAAAGGTCTAATAATAATAATAATAATAATAATAATAATAATAATTTATTTATACCCTAGCCATCTGGCTGGGTTCCCCCAGGCACTCTGGGCAGATCCCAACAGAATATTAAAAGCACGATAAAACATCAAACATTAAAAACTTCCCTAAACAGGACTGCCTTCAGTTGCCTTCTAAAAGTCAGGTAGTTGTCTATTTCCTTGACATCTGATGGGAAGGCGTTCCATAGGGCGGGCGCCACTACTGAGAAGGCCCTCTGCCTGGTTCCCTGTAACCTCACATCTCGCAGTGAGGGAACCACCAGAAGGCCCTCGGAGCTGGACCTCAGTGTCCAGGCTGAACGATGGGGGTGGAGACGCTCCTTCAGGTATACTGGGCCGAGGTCGTTTAGGGCTTTAAAGGTCATCACCAACACTTTGAATTGTGCTCGGAAATGTACTGGGAGCCAATGTAGGTCTTTCAGGAGTGGTGTTATATTGTCTTGGTGGCCACTCCCAGTCACCAGTCTAGCTGCCGCATTCTGGATTAATTGCATTTTCTTTTTCGTGTCAGGATGGGATCTGGATTGTGCTGAAGTATCCCTCTTCCCAGACCTGCCAACTGTCCCATTTTAAGTGGGCCAACCCAGATCAGAGAAGCCAATCTCAGCTTCTTTTTCAATCCCAGAAAGTCCTGCTTTTTTTTGGTCCAGTGCTCTGGTGTGAGACACTCACTCTGGCTATTGTCAACAACATCCAGCCCAAGCACCTTGTGGTCCAGCGATCTGGTGCAATTCTGTTGATGACCACCAGAGCACTGGATGAGAAGAGAGAGGACGGCGAGAATGGGCAGAGAGGGTGAGCAGCAAGGGCAGGAGTGTGTGGGGAGGGCGAGCAGTGAGAGAGGGCAGGGAGGGCAACCAGCATGGGTGGCAGTGGTGGCGGGGGGCCGAGAGATCCTGCGCGAATGGGGATCGGGTGGTGGAGCAGGCAGGTGGCAGCAGCCTAATGGCTGTCTTGCATTTTGGTTTTTATAAGTTGAGGGTATGCCCTGCTGGCCCCAGAAGCTGCTGCCTGTGGGGTGGGGCCTGGGTCACTGTATTGGCACAGAGTTCCCTGCTCTGACTGTCAAATATATGACTGGTTGGAAGTGCCCTGGCTGGATCCTTGCCATCAGCAGCTTGCAGAATGTCTCAAAAGGGGGAGTTTTGACAAAAGAGGGGTTGGAGCAGGCCTGGGAACTGCTGGATCCCAAGCCAGCTACACTGCTGTTACATGACGGTGTCAGGTCCAGCCTGGGCCCAATCACTGCTTCCAGTCCAGGTTGGAATACTGATTTATCAATTCTGCCCAAGTTACCATGGGAGGCAAGGCTGTGGGTGTAGCAGTCACCCTGCTAATCCATTGAGCCCCACCACTGCCCTGCCAGGATCCGTATTTCACTTTTGCACATTTCTTGTGGCACAAACCCCCACAGACCAGAACCCACCATCAGTTGGCTAAGAAAGCTTAGGCCACAATTTATATTTTTGCTCTTTCCCCCCTGCGGCAGACTAAAAAAGCTGGCGTGAAAGTTAAATGGGCTGTTCTGACAAATGCAAACAACAGGCTCCTTTGCCCCATTTTGCAGAGTACAGTGGTACCTCTGGTTAAGAACTTAATTCATTCTGGAGGTCCGTTCTTATCCTGAAACTGTTCTTAACCTGAAGCACCACTTTAGCTAATGGGGCCTCCTGCTGCTGCCGTGCTGCAGCCATGTGATTTCTGTTCTTATCCTGAAGCAAAGTTCTTAACCCGAGGTACTATTTCTGGGTTAGCGGAGTCTGTAACCTGAAGTGTCTGTAACCCGAGGTACCACTGTATCTCACAATTCAAATTTGTCCCTACCACCCCCCAAGAAAAACCCTCACGCTGATCAAAGGAGGGAAAAATTGTGTCCCTTTGGTTTCTGTGCCTTGTTTACTTTTTGGAGGAGAGTACATCCCTCCAACATTTCTCCAGTGAAAAGAGGAATGTCCAAAGAAAAAGCAGGACATTCTAGGATCAGATCAGAAACCGGGATGGCTTCTGTAAATCTGGGACTGTTCCTGGAAAACAGGGACATTTGGAAGGTCTGAGAGCAGCAGGATTCAGTGTTCAGTTGATTCTTGTGCTGGAGCAGCTCCAAGTTGTGATTGTTCCGCTGGTGGGGTTGGAGTTAATCTGACCCACGCAGCTCTCTCTGTGGTCAAGGCACCCTCCCCAGCGAGAAGAGAGGCTTTGGGTTAAGCCAGAGAGATGACACCTCTTCACCAGGCACGCTGCAGAAAGACCAATTATTACATGCTGGAAGGCATACAGTATAATTCAGCTCAAGCTGCAAAGATGCCAGATGTCCCATCAAGGAACACATTTGCCTCCTCTTCCTGCAGAAATCTGCTCACTGTCTTCTCACAGATCCGCCTATGAAAGTCAGAAGAGATAGCAAGGCTAGACTCAGTAAG